CAAAAAAGTCTGGATAGTGGACGTGGCAGTGCCTGGAGACAGCAGAATAGAAGAGAAAGAACTGGAGAAGATAACAAAATACAAAGACCTACAAATAGAAATACAAAGACTGTGGCAAAAGCAAGCAAGGGTAGTACCAATAGTCATAGGCTCCTTGGGTGCAATCCCAAAACAACTGGAGCACCACTTGAACACCATTGGCATTGACAAATTTGCTATTAGTCAATTGCAAAAGGCGGCCTTACTAGGAACTGCTTCCATCCTGCGACGATATCTGTAATACCATCAAACATCCACATCTGCCTATCCCAGGTCCTGGGTAAGGACTCGATAGGTAGACAAAATGCCAAATCCAGTCTGAACATCTGGCTGACTGTGCGATGATCCATAATAATAATAATAATAATAGTTGGAAGAGACTATATATCTATATCTATATCTATCTATCTATCTATCTATCTATCTATCTATCTATCTATCTATATATATATATATAGCCAAGATATTGTAATGGAGTTTGGCTTGGACAAATGTGCCACACTTACTATCAAACAAGGAAAAATAATGAAAACTGAAGGAATCAAGATGCCCCACGAAAATAACATTAAGAGTCTGGATGAGGAAGAGTACTACAAATACTTGGGTATCCTTCAAGCTGACAACATCAAGCACACTGAAGTCAAGAAAAAGATTAGAGGTGAATACATCAAGAGAGTGAAGAAGATCTTAAAATCCAAACTCAATGGAGGAAATATCATAAAGGCAATCAACACCTGGGCAATCCCAGTCATTAGGTACACAGCTGGAATAGTGGACTGGACTCAAGCAGAACTAAAAGCAATGGATAGGCAGACCAGAAAAATAATGACAATGAATCATGCCCTTCATCCACGCAGTGACATTGATAGACTTTATCTACCAAGGCAAATAGGTGGGCGTGGAATGCTACAAGTACATCAGATGGTTGAAGAAGAAAAAATGGCTTTGGAAGAATATCTGAAGAACAATGATGAAGATGCACTGAAATTAGTATATCAGGAAGGCTTACTAACTACTGGAGAGACCAAACTGGCCTACAAGAAAGACCAAATGAAGAACAGAATAGAGGCATGGGAAGACAAAGCACTACATGGCCAATACATGAAAAAAATAGCTGGGAAAGCAGATAATAATAAAACCTGGCAATGGCTAAGAGCAGGAAAATTGAAGAAAGAGACCGAGGGACTAATTCTGGCTGCACAAGACCAAGCCTTAAGGACAAATGCATACAAAGTCAAAATTGAGAAGACAGCAACAGACAGTAAGTGCCGCCTATGCAAAGAAGCTGAAGAAACAGTGGACCACTTGTAAGCTGTTGCAAGAAGATTGCACAGACTGATTACAAGCAGCGGCATGACAAAGTAGCAACAATGGTGCATTGGAAGATCTGCAAAAAATATCATTTGCCTGTAAGCAAAAACTGGTGGGATCATAAAATAGAGAAAGTCATAGAAAATGATAAAATTAAACTGCTCTGGGACTTCAGAATTCAAACAGACAAGCACCTGCAACATAACACCCCAGACTTAACAATTGTCGATAAGAAAGACAAAAAAGTCTGGATAGTGGACGTGGCAGTGCCTGGAGATAGCAGAATAGAAGAGAAAGAACTGGAGAAGATAACAAAATACAAAGACCTACAAATAGAAATAGAAAGACTGTGGCAAAAGCAAGCAAGGGTAGTACCAATAGTCATAGGCTCCTTGGGTGCAATCCCAAAACAACTGGAGCACCACTTGAACACAATTGGCATTGACAAATTCACTATTAGTCAATTGTAAAAGGCGGCCTTATTAGGAACTGCTTCCATCCTACGACGATATCTGTAATACCATCAAACATCCACATCTGCCTATCCCAGGTCCTGGGTAAGGACTCGATAGGTAGACAAAATGCCAAATCCAGTCTGAACATCTGGCTGACTGTGCGATGATCGATAATAATAATAGTTGGAAGAGACATTGGAGGTTATCTAGTCCAACCCCTTGCTCAGGCAGGAAACCCTATATCATTTCGGACAAATAGCTGTCCAGTCTCTTCTTAAAAACTTCCACTATTAGAGCATTCACTGCTTCTGGACGCAGGTTGTTCCACTGAGTGTTCTGTCAGGAAGTTTCTTCTTAGTTCTAGGTTGTATCTCTCCTTGATCAGTTTCCATCCGTTGCTTCTTGTCCTGCCTTCAGGCGCTTTGGAGAATAGCTTGACTCCCTCTTCTTTCTGTCAGCCCCTGAAATATTGGAACACTGCTATCATGTCCCCCCTCGTCCCTCTTTTCATTAAACTACACATACCCAATTCCTGCAATTGTTCATCGTATGTTTTAGCCTCCAGTCCCCTAATCATCTTTGTTGCTCTTCTCTGTACTCTTTCTAGAGTCTCAACATCTTTTTTACATCGCGGTGGCCAAAACTGGGTGCAGTATTCCAAGCGTGGCCTTACCAAGGCATTGTATAGTGGTATTAATACTTCACGTGATCTTGATTCTATCCCTCTGTTAATGCAGCCCAGCACTGTGTTGGCTTTTTTAGCAGCTGCAGCACACTGCTGGCTCACTTCTTGTTCAATACAGAAACCAATGAATGTTATTATCCCTGCCTCCAGGAAACAAGTCCCAGCCAACATTAAATTATAACATTTTTAAAGAAAAAAACAGCAGGGGGAAGCACACTTCCTTTATTATTACCTATTTGCTTTGATTTGAAGACTACAATCCTGAGACATATTTGAACAAGGCTTTAGCAACCAACTATTATCCCAACAATTATTTTTGTTAGTTTCCTCGTTCGTACTAAGAAAATCAGATGCTTCTCAGAGTCTTCCTTCAATTTTTATTCAGTTTTCAAAGCAAGAGAAACTCCTTAGGGAGGATGCAAATATAACACATTTCTTTCCCTAGTATTCGCCTGCAGATTGTCCAGGTCATTACACAGGGGGGCTGAGAATGATCTTGTGATTCATTACATCTTCATGGGCAATGAATTTGGGCAGCGCACAAGTGCCGTATAGTAGCTACAAGTACCTTTGTCTTGAGTAGCTATTCCCAGAACAGAGCTTAAATGAGAATTTCACAGAGGAATGCAAATGTTATTTTCAGGCTAATTTTGAAGTTTCTTCAGTAAGGTACAATGCAGTGGAGGAAGTGAAGCAATTGGCGAACTACAGTAGTACAAAGAAGAGTCACAATTTCAAGGGGCTCTCGTTATTTTTTGCAATGCTGCTGGGAGAGAATCATCCATGGATGTATCGATCTCCATATTCCTTGTTTATGAAGATTCTCAGTCTTCCAGGTCATGGTTGTTCCAAAGGCAAGTGGACTTTTTCAAAAGGCAAGTGGACTTTCTTGGTTTTAAATGTTTTGCTTCTCATCCAAGAAGCTTCTTCAGTTCTGAAGAAAAAAAAAAAACCCAGGAAAGTCCAGTTGCTTTTTGAAAAAGCACCTTTGGGGTTTGCATTCATTGCTTGCACTCTAGCTAAAATAAATGTGTTTTAATATACATTAATATGCATTTAATATTGCGTTATAGTGATGGTAAGATTGAGTATGTTTGGAATAAGGAAAGTATTTTTATTACTATTTTAATGCCATTTGACAGACAATCATCACGGGAGAGAAGAGTACCCAAGACTATAAGAGCACCACCACTGGTGATGGAATTACTGGATTTAAATATTCCATTTCAGGAATATAAAACTCCACAATTCACTATCCCCAGCTCTTACACACTGGGCAACTTTGTTTTGCAATTTTGAGATAAATTCCAGCTGACTAAATACAGCACAGACTTTCATGGTGAAGCAATGATTTCAGCTGCTTGTCCCTTTCCACATTCCAAGTTTCAACACTCCCAGCATTTACTATTATATAAAAGCTACAAGGGCTGACATTGTGGTGTAATGAAAATAATCTCACACTTAACACCACAAAAACTAAAGAACTTATAATTGACTTCAGAAGGAAGAGAGATGCACATCTACCATTGTACATAAATGGTGAGGAGGTGGAGAGGGTGGGTAGTTTTAAATTTCTGGGCACTTATATCTCGGAGGACCTCTCATGGACTATGAATGTTAACATGCTTGTGAAGAAGGCACAGAAGAGGCTGTATTTCCTGAGAATGCTCAGGAAGATAAATCTATCTCAGCATCTACTTCTGTCCTACTATCACAGCGCCATTGAGAGTGTCCTGACATATGGCATTTTTGCATGGTATGGGAGTAGCTCTGTAGCAGATAAAAAAGCTCTACAGAGAATTATTAAACCACCACCACCCCCCAGAATATTATCGGACTCCAGCTACCAGCCCTGGACAACATCTTCGAATCTCGCTGTTTGAGGAAGTTGCATAACATTCTCAGAGACTCTTCCCATCCTGCTTACAATCTCTTTGGACTGTTGCCTTCTGGCAGAAGATATAGAACATTTAAAACTCGGACCACACGTTTTCTGAATAGTTTTTATCCCAGAGCTATAATTGCATTTAATAGTGAATTAAAGGGCCACCATCAATGAACTGTTGGATAGTATTACTTGGTCTGTTGGGTGGATGTTGGGTGGTTTTAGGGGTGGGGAATTGTGGTGGGTGGGAGTGTGTTTGGGGATTATGTGTGTGGGACCTGGTCTTTGGGTGTCACGTAAATTTCGTTGTATGTGTATACTGTGTATACACATACAATGACAATAAAGTTATTTTTTTTTATGAAAATTTCTGATCCATAGTGCCAGGTTCATTACAAATATTTATTTAGCCCCTCCCTCTCTGACTTCTGATGGTAATTTGAATTAAAGTGTGCAGATTTCATAAACAAATGGCAAATGTGGATTTATTTTTTAAGGTAAGATGCTGCAGTTATATATCTACAATAACTGAACCGCATGAAGTGCAATGAAAAATTGGATGAAATTATAAAAGAAATTAGAGAAGAAATTAGAGATTGTAAATAATTATTTTTTGAACCAGGTATATAAAGATGGGTTTATTTATTTCACTTAGGAAAAAGAATGGATTTATTTACTAGAATTTGTTTAATTATAATTTTTTTAAAAAAAAACTTCCATGCCTATTTTCCAATATTTGGAGCACTGCTCTAATTCCAATATTAAAAAAAGATAAATATAAATTCTTATTAGAATGTTTAGGGAACTGCCACACCTAACAATACTCTACTTTTGTTGCCTTCTGAAACATGAAACATTTGCCTTTTTATGGAACTTGAGGGAGATACAGAACATGGGATTCAGCATCATTAAGAGGAAACAAAATATATGGAACAACTTTCCATACGTTGCTTGATCCACTATTATAAAATGCACATGATATGAATAAGCCTGAAGGTTTTGTGCTTCTCTTTTATTTTGTCTTCTTTAAGAGAAAGCAGTAAAAACAGACTGCAAATATGAATATACTGCATATCCTAAAGCAGAGGCCCCCAACGTTTTGGGCACCAGGGACCGGTTCTGTGGAGAAAGATTTTTCCACAGACCAGAGGGGGTGTGGTTTCGTGTGCTGCCTGCATTCAGCAGATGGGGCTTCACTTCTTTGCGCGGTATGCTGCGGCCCAGTGTTGGTCCACGGACCAGGGGTTAGGGACCTCTGTCCTAAAGAGTATGATTACTTCTCCTCCATGTCCCTCCCTCAAGTATAACCAGCCTGATCATTCATTTCAACAATCTTATTCTGACCTTTATGAGTATATGGCTTTTCTGATATTGATCTAAACATGTGGTATTCAGTATTTGGTACTGAAATGCAAGCACTGCTCTATAGTTTGAATCACACATTATAATTAGCCCCTAACCTAATCCAGGAGCCACCAGGATCAGTTGAAAGTACACTCCTCCATTCAAATGAGAACAGGCAGCCAGTGCACACCAAACGCACTTCTCTGTAGATGCTCCAGAAACAGAATCTTAAGCTGCTCTTAGTCCCATCCTTGAAACCTGCTGCTCAGTATCAGATTATAGCCTTTAAATATATTGGTCTTCATCCTGATTGTTGGTGAGCAATGACCATTTGTCTGCTTCAGCCTCCAAGTCAACTGATGCCATGTCTGAAGTCAGGGAACAGAGAGACACTTGACTGATATTGTCCCAGGTGGCTAATTTGGGAGGTTTTTGTCTCCGGTCATCCATCCCAATATGGACACTAATTTGGGAAGGAGTCAGTGGCTTCATGCAGCCTTGAGCCTCAGCTTCATATTTTTCCAGGACAGTTTTCTTGTAACTATAGAAATAGAATAAATACAAACAAATATATTTCCAATAGAAGCACAGAGTTGGATGTGGCAGCTGCCTAGCAAATACTAGTACAGGTAGTCCTCAGTTACAACAGTTCATTTCGTGACCGTGGAAAGTTACAATGGCACTGACAAAAGTGACTTCTGACTGTTTTTCACATTTACAGCTGTTGCAGTGTCCCCATGGTCATGTGATCAAAATATCAGATGCCTGACAACTGGTTCATATTTAGGACGGTTGGAGTGTCCCAGGGGTCACTTGATCACTTTTTGCGACCTTCTGACAAGCATGGTCAATGGGGAAGGCAGAGTCACTTAACCGCCATGTTACTAACAACTGCAGTGATTCGCTTAACAAGGTGTGGCAAGAAAGGTTGTAAAATGGGGCAAAACTCACTTAACAAATGTCTCACTTAGCAACAGAAATTTGGGGCTCAATTGTAGTTGTATATCAAGGACTACCTATAATCTGCAAATCACGAGTCTATTTAGAAATGGGACTGTTGAATTGAAGAAGATATAAGGACTAGGTTTCTCTAGCCCAGGGGTAGGCAACCTTGGCTCTTTTATGACTCATGGACTTCAACTCCCAGAATTCCTGAGCCAGCCATACTGAGGGGAAAGGGAGAGGTTTCCAAGCTGAGCCATGCTGGCTCAGGAATTCTGGGAGTTAAAGTCCACGAGTCATAAAAGAGCCAAAGTTGCCTACCCCTGGGCTAGCCAGAAGAGCTCTTGATTTGTTAATTAATCCATGTCTTGATTTTGGATTGCTGAGCGCCTAATTTGTGAAAAACATCAAGCCAAGCGGGTGGAGTAGACACAATCTGCCTTATCACCAATATCATCATGTCTTGCACCAACATGTCAACAGTGGTGAAGTTAGTTCTCAACTTAATGGCCAGTCGTTTAATGACCATTTGGAGTTAAGATGGCCTTGGAAGGGTGCATTGCAGTTCACAAAACACTTCTTTATCATAAAATGTTGCCCCCCCACTCCCACCCCATGGTCACATGAGCACATTTCGGGCACTTGGCAACTGGCTCAAATTTAAAACTGATTGCAGTGTCCCTTAATCCTGTGACCACAAGGTTTTTTTTTAATCATTTCCTGGGATTTTTTTGCTAGTTTGTAGCAAAAAGTACCCATCCAAGAGAACTGATATAGACATACGCCTGCAGGATTCACTTAACAACTGCTATAAAAACAGTTGCAAAATTTAGTCCAGTCAAGTGGATTCCTCGACATGATCAAAACTCTGGTTCCATTTGTAATTATAAGCTGAAAAGTACCTGCAGTTGAAGGCATTTGCTCAGTATTTTGATTCTTAGAACCAGACTAGCCACTGCAACTATGGCTCATGTTTAGAAACTGTCAGTCCTCTTCAAGCAAACTTATTTAGAAAGTTCCAGCATGATGCTGGACAGAGGTAGAAGAAAGGCATTATCCGCCTTGATTATTACTAATAGCCTAAACTTAACAGTTTTTAGAAAAGGATACCCCAATCTTATTTGGTGATTGGGCAGAACTCATTCATTCAGGACTGGGAGATGACTTACCACCTCACACAAAAAGGTATTTAAAGGCCAGTGCTCTGACAGACGAGCACAATTCAAAGCACACTGAAGATGCCCCCCCAAATGGAGACGAAGTGCAGCCAAATCGCCAAGCTCGAAGATCAAACCAACAGCCCAACTACCAACCCGAGCTACTAATATTCAAACACATCTCAACTTACCATTTTAGCTGCAGGGAAGAGAGTAATACGGATACTGAAGATGCAGCCATTGCAGCTGACCCCATCCATGGCTGTAGCACAAGTCCTAAAGGCATAAATACTCCTGACACAAAAAATAGACACAATTTAGAATGTTGCTTAAATAAAGTTATATGTAGGCATCTCTAAGAATGCAGAATTTAGTCTTAAATCATTTTCTTATCACCTGTCTGCTCAAAGCTGAGGAGTTTTACTGCAAAATGGAATTATGTTTTGTGTATTTCTTCTACAAATTTGTTGTTTGCTTTCTATTTTTCATGCTCAGAATAACATCAGTTCAGTACAACTGGAGCTCACAACTGACATGCAATTATCAGAGGGACTTTACATCAGCCAATTGATTGTCTTCCAGAGGCATTGGACTTCCACTTTCATAAAGTCCTAGTTGGCATCGTCAAACAAGATGAGTCAAAGTTATGTAAACTAGAATATTTTTGACATTAAAATCCAATTGCTTAGCATTAGCAATAGCACTTAAACTTATATACCGCTTCACAGTGCTTTACAACCCTCTCTAAGCGGTTTACAGAGTCAGCATATTGCCCTCCAAGAATCTGGGTTTTCATTTTACCAACCTCAGAAGGATGGAAGGCTGAGTCAACCTTGAGCCGGTCAGAATCAAACACTAGAAGGCTGCTGAAGAGTATATTATTAATTAAGCCAAAAGCTTTTTCACCACAGTGCATTTTCCTTCTTAAGCACTCAACAAAATCAGGAGGGTCTTGAGATGTGAGTTTCCTTCTCTTACATTTTTCCGTCTCCTTTTTTTTCTTTCAAATAATTAATTATGGACATAACATTATAAGGCAACTCTTAATAACAGGAAAAGCAATACTGCTTAAACAAGTAACGAATCTCTTACTTACCTTCCACCAGCCCATCTGCTTGAGAATCATAGTACAAATAATTTACCTGCTGCTATGGGTATGCCAATGAGGTTGTATATTAAGGCCAGGATTAGGTTTATTCGGATTCTCTTCATTGTCTTCCTGGATAGATGGATACTTGCAACCACATCAAGCAAATTATTCTGTACCAAAAAAAAGGGGAGGGGTTGTTCCAATTTCTCAGAAAGTCCTAGGAATCTCCCCTACCTCCCCATCACCCTTTTTCATTTTGTAAGCTCACATGAATCAGCACAACATCTGCTGCTTCAATGGCGACATCTGTGCCTGTTCCGATAGCAATGCCAACATCAGCCTGGGCCAGCGCTGGTGAGTCATTGACCCCATCTCCAACCATGGCAACTTTTCTTCCAGAAGTTTGGAGCTCCTGAACTTTGGCTACTTTGTGAGAAGGGAGAACCTCAGCAAATACTTTTCTGATCCCAACCTAGATACAGAAAAACACCCTCTTGTTTGAATCCATGAATAAAAAAAGAGAATCTCCTGGGAGAAAAATACATGAATACGGGTTTAGAGCTCTTCTAAATCATCTGGTCTGGCATCGGTTTTCAAAAATAGCCAGAGAAATGTGAAGGGAAGAGCTGACATACCATCCCTAAACTCACTGCTGGCATAAAGCCGGCATGACTATTTTCAAATATTCAACCTCTTTTCCAGAGAGGAAAGGCTTTAATATTGGTTTCTTAAAGGTTTTGGGTGGATGAGGAAAGGCAGAAGTAATAGGCATTATAAAAGGTACAAATCTGTAAGAGGCGATTTTTAAACTTTGCTAAAAAAATATTATCACATGCACAGAAAGTTTCACAAAGAACCATACGCATCTTAAAACGAGGGTTTTAATTCAGTACTCAGATTTAGATACCGTACAGTATTGTTCTGTTCTCCCTAGAAATCTGGTAACTCTTAAGTATGGAGGAAATGACCCATACCAGGGCTGCCATCCACACAAAACTTATACCAGTGATGGTGAACCTTTTAGAGACCGAGTGCCCAAAACCCACTCCCCCGCCCCTGCTCTGCCTGCTGCCCTGCCTGCTCCGCCCCTGCCCGCCCCCTGCCCCACTCACCCATGGGGCCACGCACCGTATCCATGGCCCACCGCAGCAGATCGCCCAGGCAGCCCTGCAGCACCATGCCCTCTGCCCACACCCCTCAGCATCATCTGCACACTATAGGATGTGAGGGCAGAGTCTTGTCCCTGTTGCCCAGCTATGTACTCGGCTGTGCTGCTCTGTGTGGGCTGTGCCCGGGGGCGACTCTCCTCCAGGGGGGCTACTAGTGAGGAGGGGGCCATGGGGGGAGGCGGGGCTGGGGCGACGGCGCGTGTGCCCATAGAGAGGGTTCCGAGTGCCGCCTCTGGCACGCGTGCCATAGGGTCGCAACCACTGGCTTATACTTAGCTCTTAGGCTTCTCTGTCTGGTTGCTTGGAAGATAACCAGTAGAACATATTATTTGGACTAGGAATTATTAATCTGGGCCCTCCCAGCTTTTTTGAAATATAATCCTGACAAACATGGTATTGCAATGCTGTCTAGACTTGATAGGAAGTGAACTCTAAAAAATCTTGAGAATATCGGGTTGCATTTCCCTAGCTTAGATTGATAGGCTAGCGCAGGGGTAGGCAACCTTGACTCTTTTATGACTCGTGGACTTCAACTCCCAGAATTCCTGAGCCAGCCATGCTGGCTCAGGAATTTTGGGAGTTGAAGTCTACGAGTGATAGAAGAGCCAAGGTTGCCTACCCATGCGCTAGTATAAGGATAGTTGGATTTAAATCCTCATGTAGTAACAAACCTTAATGAGACTCCACGTCAGTTTCTACCCTGTCTCACAGAACCTTTTGGCAAAAGATTGGAGGGAACATGTCATGTTATATTCCTGACTTGTCTTGAGGAACAGTAGGATAAAGAATTATCGTGTATTTTAATGATTGCATTGTACACCCTCCCAATTTTATTCTACTGAAGCCAGCGCTACTTGTTTCAGCCTATTAATTGGTAGAATCCAATTTTGATGTCACATTGTATCAATTTTGTAGAATGCAAATCAGTTTTATATGCTGTAAGCACCTCCAAGAAATATGAAAGGCATGGTTACCTTCAAATTCAGCACCCATTCAATGAGCCAAACAAAGGTTAATAATTCTCTTGCATACCTTTTCGACAAGAAACCATACCTGAGTTGCAATTGCTTTGGCTGTTTTCCTATTGTCTCCTGTAATAAGCACCACATCCACGCCCATATTCTGCAATATGTGCATTGCTAAGGCTGCCTCTGGCTTGACTGTGTCTGCTATTGCCATCATGCCACAAAGCGCACCTACAAAAAAACCATATCTTTACTTACATTTATGAGATCTGTGTTATGGTTTCTCTGGGAAGCTCAAAATAGTCCTTGACTTGAAATCACAACCAAGCCTGGACTTTCAGTTGTAAGTTTTTAGGATTATTAAGCGAGGTGCCCACATGATGGCTTTGCTCAACGACTGCAACCTAAGCTCTCCCTGTAGCAGTTGCTAAGTGACCCCATAGGTCGGTGGCAACTACACAGGGGTATCTCGGGATGGGGAGGCCCACGAAGATCCAATAACCATCAGTATATGGAAACCTGCCATGGCTGGGCAGTGTCAGCTGGCTAGGTCCACCATTGCAGGGACACCTCTCCTGCCCCACTACACCAGGGTCTACTTATGTTTCTGTTGCCCTGCTCCATCCAAGCACATGGGCCCCATTATTGCAATGGTTTGGACAACTCCTCCAAATTGTGCAATTTGGAGGAGCTTCTGAACCATCATGAGAATGATGTCAATTGTTAGCATTTTCTCCTTTGGAGAGGAAGATGCTAGCGAAGCTAGTATTCTGAAAGGCTCTGAGACTCAGCCCTTCAGAACACTGAGGGTCAGAGTATGTGGTGTTTTCTCCTTTGGAGAGGAGAAGGATGCTAATGAAAGAGGTGGATTCCGGAGGAAAAAACGCCAAAGGGTCCGAGAGACGACGTCTCCAAGCAGCCCTTTCATTCTGTGTGCAGAAGAAAACTATTTCTGCAGGCAGGCTGAACAGGGCTTGGAAAGATCCGAGGGAAGGAGTTATCCAAAGGTGCTTTTTCAAAAAAGGCAACTGGGCTTGTTTTTTCTTCCCTTTTGAAAGTATTTTGCTTATCATCGAAAAAGCTTCTTCAGTTGTAACTAAAGAAGCTTCTTGGATGAGAAGCAAAACATTTTCAAAGGAAGAAAACAAGTAAGCCCAGTTGCCTTTTGGAAAAGCATCTTTGGGATAATCACAACCTGGATGATTGAGACTCTCCATAGACAGGGAAAGAGGTCTGCTCGACAGAGAGACTGAAAGAGCTGCCTGCCAGAGAGAGGCAGAGAGAGCTCTTGCACTGTGTGAAGGAAATTCCTTCTCTGGGTAGATTGAATGGGGCTTGGATCTTGGGGATTCAAGTTGTGTTCAGCCAGCCAGCCCAGCACAGGTGTTTTTCCCACTCCCTGTGCAGAAGGATTCTTTCAGCCAGCCTCTTTGAAAGCAAAAAAGTTGCTTGATAGATAGATTCTGGCCCCATGCAGGGTGGAGTCCCTCTGCCAAGCAGCTTTTTCAGTCTTTCAGGCTGGCTGAAAAAAGGCCTTCAGGACGGACCTTTTTCAACCATTCCCCAGGAACCAGCCAGGCAACAGCACCTTGTGACCTTCCCTGGTTGACTTTCTGGGGGAAGCTGGTAAGGAAGATTGAAAATGGCAATGACTGCAGGGTGCTTGACAATCCATCGTAAGTGTGAAGTGCATAGATTACAATCATGTGATGGCAGGGGTGTTGCAATAGCCGTAACTTTGAATACAGGTCATAAGTCCCTTTGTTCCGCGCTGTTGTAATTTCAAATCATCACTGAATGGATGGTCATTTAGTGAAGACTGCCTGTATGTGGTATTCCATACTGTAACCTTCCCTAGCCTAGTGTCTTCCGGAGATGCTGGACTTTATCTCCTGTAGTTCTCCATCCTGCATACCCAGTGGTGATGTTAGCAGAAGGAATTAGGGAAGTGAATGTTCAGTGCATCTGGAGGGCACCAGCACAGGGAAAGATGTTACCATACAACGGCTTCATAATTTGAATTTTTAGCCACAGGATTGAGCAACATCCCAGTAGCATAGCTTTGCACATTTTTCGGAAGTCAAGACATAATAATAATAATAATAATAATAATAATAATAATAGTTGTAGTAGTAGTAGTAGTAGTAGTAGTAGTAGTAGCAGGACCAGCAGCAGCAGCAGCAGTAGTAGTAGTAGTAGTAAAGTTGGAAGGGACCTTGGAGGTCATCTAATCCAACCCCCTGCTCAGGCAGGAAACCCTATATCATTTCGGACAAATGGCTGCCCAGTCTCTTCTTAAAAACTTCCAGTGTTGGAGCCTTCACCGCTTCTGGAGGCAGGTTGTTCCACTGGTTAATTGTTCTAACAGTCAGGAAGTTTCTCCTTAGCTCTAGGTTGCTTCTCTCTTTGGTTAGTTTCCACACGTTGCTTCTTGTCCTGCCCTCAGGCGCTTTGGAAAATAGCTTGACTCCCTCTTCTTTGTGGCAGCCCCTGAGATATTGGAACACTGCTATCATGTCCCCCCTTGTCCTTCTCTTCGTTAAACTAGACATACCCAATTCTAGCAACCGGTCCTTATATGTTTTAGCCTCCAGTCCCCTAAGCATCTTTGTGCTCTTCTCTGTACTCTTTCTAGAGTCTCAACATCTTTTTTACATCGTGGTGACCAAAACTGGATGCAGTATTCCAAGTGTGGCCTTACCAAGGCATTGAAGAGTGGTATTAATACTTCACGTGATCTTGATTCAATCCCTCTGTTAATGCAGCCTAGCACTGTGTTGGCTTTTTTGGCAGCTGCAGCACACTGCTGGCTCATATTTAGGTGATTGTCCACTAGGACTCCGAGGTCCCTCTCACATATCTTCCTTTAACCCTGATCAGTTAGCCTACCATTTATAGCCATCAGAATTGCTGTCTGTCCTTTCATTTCATGATCTCTCATGGCCTCATGAACATCACTGGAGATATGCAGGCCATTCCGTCTCATCCACTCCCGATTCCCAATCAACACGGAGTAAGTTTGAGACACTGCAGTATCTGTCAGATATAAGAAGGCAGAACTGTGAGGATTTAAATAAAGACTTTTATAAGCTACAGGGGAGGCTTTCTTAAGAACTGATATTCCAATCTGTTTGCTTAAAAGGTATCAACCTATATAACCTGATAAGGATGATAGAATGTCAATTTACTTGTCTTGGCAAGCCAATTCAGAATATTCTTCAAAACTTTCAAGATGTTATGAGAAGTACAGTGTTGTGGAATTAGATTTGTATAAGATCCGTTTACTGCTTGGCAATGATTGAAATTAGATAGGAAAGAGTACACAAAGCAAATATCTTTTTAAAAGGCACTATGAGGAACCAGGAACTAAGAAAAACTGAATTCCAGAGGGAAGAAAGGACTTTTGACTGCAAGTCAAAAGGGAACTGGAATGCAGAATGGAGCACATATAATCAGACAATTCTGACCAGGCTAAGACAAACTTCTTTCACTTGGAACTTTATAGATACACTGGAATTAAGATAATCATTGTACACTCCTGGGCATCTACCTTGCCTAACAAACAAATGGGCGATTTGATGGAGTTTTGCTTTCTTCAAAACAGACCGTGTGGTGTTTTTCTGTACTGGGGCAAGAACATGAAATTGCAGCAACTCTTCAGACTTGGTTGTATTGCTCATGTTGCTCACCATCTCGATTTACAAAAGCTCCTAAACTGATCAAAGCACTCTATTATCCAAGCCTTAAAAAAAAAAAAATCATTTGGAGGCTTTTATGAGGTCTTCTTCATTTTTAAAAAAAACCTAAGAAACAATATCTAATCTTGATCTGTTTTCCCCATCTATTTCTCCTTTCCAGAAAAGATGAAACCAGGAAGGAAAGATGGCACAGCTTTGACTGGTAGAGCATTTGAAAAGTTTTTTAACATCTTTAACCAGGAACATAGCCAACATGAGCTGGTTGGACCTACTGTAACTTAGGTAATTCCTTAAGCAAACCTCCTCCATTTCTAAGTAGCACCTTGCTTACCCCTTACTTTGGGAAGTGGAGTCTGATCTTTAACACCTTTATCAAAGCCATAAATATGAGGGCGGAGACTGATCACATCCTGCTCATCACCCAATATGATTTCAGTGCTGCTAACATTACAGCTTATTCCACATCCAGGAACTGTCTGAAAATTTTTACAGCATCCAAGGATCTCTGTGCCAAGTTCCTGTAAAATATATATTTTAAACATCGCTTTGAAGAGCAAAATGCTTCATTTTCATGCATAAATATAAACATTTAAAACAATAAGGAATTTTCAAAAGCTTTTCTGAAATAGCAATAGCATTAGATTTATATACCACTTCACAATGCTTTACAGCTCTAAGTAATTTACAGAGTCAGCCTATTGCTCCCAACAATCTGGGTCCTCATTTTATCGACCTTGGAAGGATGGAAGGCTGAGTCAACCCTGAGCCGGTGAGATTTGAACTGACAAACTGCAGGCAGCTGGCAGTCAGCAGAAGTAGCCTGCAATAGTGCACTCTAACTACTGCACCACCATGGCACATGATGATGATGATAATGATGTGAATATAAAAAGTTAATATGATATGTAGTTACTTTCTAGAATAATAGCTTTCCCAAATTTAAACTTGAAAAACATGTACAAAATGAAGTGTACTTTAAATTGAAATTATGTATCTCACTATACTACTTCAATTTTAAATCAGATTAGTACTATAAACTGGCTTGAAAAATATTTTACAGTTCAAAATAAAGGGTTTCTCACAGATATGCTGAACTTGGCTTAAATGTCACAAATTCTCTCAAAGCAAAGTAGCCCTTCTCTTTTTCAAAAAAAGTAGTTATAGCTTTGGGGGATATTTAACTTGCTTAGGTCTATTTGACAGTATTAAGAAATTATGGCCCTATGAAATTACTGAATTGCAATACTTGGTAATCCAGCCAGGATAGCCAACACCGAGGGATGCTGGGAACTCTGGTTCTGTCTTTCATCTCTCCATTTTAGATCAAGTTTGGTAGCTTTGCCCCCTCAAGTACTGAAGTCTCTCTTGTATCAGGCTATTACCCTGAGCCAGCTAAACAGGAATTGGGTGGGAGTTCACATCCAAGGGGTTCCCTGTGCAGCACATGTTCCTGGCTCCACTCAGCTCAGGAGTGATGCTTAAGAACAAATCTGAAAAAAGTGGATGCCCACAATGATCTGGCCATAAGAAGGTAGCTTCCTCAAATGGTGGTACTGACTTTGAAGAAATGCATCCTAGGAAAAAGCACTACTATTTTTCCAAAAGAACTGGGGAGAAGGGAGGTGTTACTTGCTAACTCTCTGTTCTTTAAACTGAGAGGGTTCAATTCTCTGATATTAATTATGACTACTGCCTGTACAGCATAGGTGGCACCATGCTCAATAGTAGTAACTGTGAGAGGGACCTCAGAGTCCTAGTAGACAATCACCTAAATATGAGCCAGCAGTGTGCTGCAGCTGCCAAAAAGGCGAACACAGTGCTGCATTAACAGAGGGATAGAATCAAGATCACGTGAAGTATTAATACCACTCTACAATGCCTTGGTAAGGCCACACTTGGAATACTGCATCCAGTTTTGGTCACCAAGATGTAAAAAAGATGTTGAGACTCTAGAAAGAGTACAGAGAAGAGCAACAAGATGATTAGGGGACTGGAGGCTAAAACATATAAGGAACGGTTGCTAGAATTGGGTATGTCTAGTTAACTAGGAGAAGGACAAGGGGGGACATGATAGCATTATTCCAATATCTCAGGGGCTGCCATAAAGAAGAGGGAATTAAGCTATTTTCCAAAGCACCTGAAGGCAGGACAAGAAGCAACGGGTGGAAACTAATCAAGGAGAGAAGCAACCTAGAACTAAGGAGAAACTTCCTTACAGTGAGAACAATTAATCAGTGGACAGCCTGCCTCCAGAAGCAGTAAATGCTCCAACACTGGAAGTTTTTAAGAAGAGATTGGACAGCCATTTGTCTGAAATGGTGTAGGGTTTCCTGCCTG